CTGCAAAAACGGGCCCGGAGTGGCCATAAGCCTTCTGGCAGAACAAGTTCTGACTTTTGAAACGAAAGGCTCCCTGGGGAGAGCTTTCGTGATCACGTTTGTCCTTTCGTCATTAATGCGTATGTAGTCATATAGTCCATCTGTGCATAACTCCGATTGCCATGGGGCCTTCCAAGCTCTTGCTCCAAATTTTTGGTGTAACTAACTGTTCTTCCGACTTATCTTTAAAGGTATTAAACATACGATGCACTGAGTGTGTGTGGGCCAATAGCACCCCGCTGCCAGCTCAAATGGCAAAGCTCTTATAATCCTTGCATTACAGTTCCAAGAACAATTTTGAGTGAGTATTTGTACGTCGCACTAAGAGTTTCCATAAGCTCATGATAATGATCTGCGAAGCATTGGGCTCCGAGCAACAGGCGTGTGGAGCATGGATCTAAATTATGTTCAAGTTGAATACCCATACTACGCGCACTTATCTGTTGAACGTTTTTGACATATCTTGCCATCCTTTTCGATATCACAATACCTACAACCTTGTGCGCTCGACAAATCCAGCCTTATATTTCGTTCTTAATCGGAGATGCTTCAGGACCAGTACATGGTGTATCGTTTTGAATTACTGTTGATTTTGGTTCCTTGTAGGCATAGAACATATATGCTGTGTTGATGCATTGCGTGAATAACACGTTCGCGCCTCGATATAGACGAAAGCCGTTTTTGATTGAGCGTAGCCGCAATCATGTCTCGCAGGCATGATGGTTCAAACACGTCCGTTTGAAAGGCTGAAGTCGGTATGCGGTCGCTTTGTGAGCTATAACTGCGCTTTTGGCAGAACAAAGAGTTCGTTGACAAGTCGTGCACATTCGTTTCTTGGGCAAACAAATGCCATTAACTTGTCAAATCAGTTGCTTTTTATTGCAAAAGCCTCTGCCGCCGCACCAAGGGCCGAAGACCAAGGTGGGTGGGAGGGCCACACCTACGCAAAGTCGAAAGTTCTTGAGACAAAAAACATTCGATGCATTCGCTCGCAGAACTCTATGTTATGGCTAACGAGCAAGTTCTGCATGCTCACACTCCGCTGCACCAAAAGAGCAACACACTGCACTACCGAAAGCGATACCCTCTTTTGTGCTGCAACGGGCAACAGTGTGGATCGCCGAAGGTTGTTCGTTCAAAACGAAGAACCTGCTTCCGAATGGAGCGCTTCGGGCATTGGATAAGCCTCTGTCGCCATAAAAACCAAACAGCTGAAACACAACAAAAGCAAACCACATGCAGCGAGTGTCGCACAGTAGAGGCCTAGTCCAAAGGGAGCCGATCGCAGTGTTTGGATCCAATCTTGCCTCATGGGCGCGAAACTGTTAAATAAGGAAATGCAGGTCGAAAAGCCCCACTGTACCGGGCAAACACTGTTAGACAGCGACATTCAGGGCGGATCGCCCGATGCAACCATCGGGGGTTTAACCCGCTTCTTCAGCTACAAAGGTAGCTCCCCACGGTCGAATGCCTTGAGGTATTCGTGGCCGGTAACGGAGAGTTTGTGCTTCCAGCACTGCTCCCCGTCTCTGCTCGCTCAGATGACTGGGCTGATCGGCTCGTGCAGGTTGATCTACTGGCCGCGCGTCAGCGGTGGTATATGCCGGGGCCGAAGAGCTCGTTCCGGCGGTTGACGAGGCAGCCTTGGGAGGAGCACCAGCCGGCTTCGGGACCTCCACAGCAGGTGAGCCAGCGGACTTTGGAGCAGTGGTTGGGGCAATTTCTGGGCTTCTTTCCATGGTGATGCAGTCCGCCACCTTCTCCGTTTTCCAAGTGACTCCCTGGTGTTCTAATCGATCCGGCCGCTTCGCGAACCGTCTGAAGTGGTGTCGCCCTGGGCCGTATAACGCCACTGCGCCATGTGTGACCTGCTGCAGTTCGGCGCGGGCTCCGTGGCAAAACCCGTAGGTGTGTAACCGACGAGGAGCTCGCAGCTGGGAATGGTGTGCACTGTGCGAGACCTCCTTCCTTTTCCAGCCAAGTAAGCGGCCTTCGCCATTGGCCCTGGTCCAGAAGGTGTGGCCGTCGGCGTGGCAGAGTGACAGCCGGCTCCGTGAAGTCCATGGGCTCGGAGTCTTTTTTGCTGGGGGCGGTGACGCCACGACATATGTCTTGTGCGCGGGATCCAGATGAAGAAGCTCGGGGCGGCAGCGCCTTTGACGAAGTGCTCCCTCCCTTGCCCTTTCCTTTCGGAGAAGCTCTGGCTCGGGGTGTGGCTGTCCAGGCGGCGGATGAGCTGGTCCTCCCTCCGGTTCCAGTGTTGGCCATCATGTTGTCGTGGAGAATTCTAAGGCCAGGGTTGAGGAGGATCTCCTTCGCGCTGCCAAGAGCTTGCATTCTGAGCATGGCACTCTCTCGGCCTCCAAGTGTATCCTTGTCGGGCTGCATCTGCACAGCCATCACCTCATTCATCTTCATCGGCGAACCAGGAGCGAGGTCCAAAACTCCCAGGCACTACCCCATTGCCGGGTCCAGTCGCGGAGTTGATTGCGGCCTATTCCAGCTCCACGAGGAGTCGAGGAGCATCGCCAGGTTCCGCGATGCGAGGCAACGAAAGGGCGGTGCGCCGAAAAGAAGAGCAATACGCTTGCTTGAGCAGAGAAAATTCGCGAACAAACGTGTCACACTCCACCGCACCGCACGTCAGAGCTACTACCTTGAGCATGCTGCTGGGATTGCACTGCAAAACAGGTCGGGAAGTGAGCATGTTACGTGATCTACCAGGCGCAACAGCAAGGTCAGTGTAAAGGTGAGCGTGGATTGCATCAGACTTCCAGCCCCCAAAACGCTTAAGTCTCGATAGTAGTTACTGCCAACACAGCCGCGGCACCTTCGGAGGCTGCGCGACGCGACCAAGTGTGCTGGATGCCCGATGACCACAGCAGCCAGCCTCAGAACTTCCGAGATCCCTTCCCTAGAGAAGCCTATGCCTTGCTTGCCCAGCACAGACAGGAGAGCTAGGATCATGAACCCACAGAGGGTTGAGGCGGGCACGCTCCCTAAGGGCCTTGACGGGACATATCGCCTGTAGCAGCCTGCGGCATGTTGAAGTCCAAGATGCCCCCTCCCAAATTGGTCTCCTTTAGAGCTCTCAACTGAACAGCAAGAGAATCAGCTGCCCGGGCGGGACACTGGTGACCGTCCTGAAGAAGTCCTGGTCGCTCCCTCCAAACCCGAAAAGAGACACCCAGCAAGTCAACCGCAAGAATATACTCGGAGGCGACTCCAGGTAGGCTTTTTGAGCCAGCACAGCATCATCGGTGTCACCGACCTACCTTCGTGATGGGCGCGCCATCCCAGAGCCGAACCCTCACCGCCAGGGGCGGCTATATGGGAGCGTATTCCAGAGAGTCGTTGTTTGATGCCGTAGGCGGTGCGACCCATGTTTTGGTGCAGAAAAACCACGAACCTGAGCAGCCAGCCGTCGTCTGGGTGGAACACCCGTCCCGGACATAAAAAGGCAGCCCGTTGCTTTTATCAGGCGTTGTAAGACTTCCGACTGAAGTCGGCGAGTTTGCTAAGGACCGCTTCCTGACCAACTTGGTCCAACCAAGGCCCCCCCCTTTTGGCCTTGGGTCAGCGAAAAACTTGCCCCTCTCTTCTCCCAATAGCACCGGACTAACTCAACCCCTGTAGGGTTTTCCGATTTCCAGGCCCTCCGCCCAATTGGGTGTCGCGATCAAGGTTCCGTTTCGTGAGCCAAACCTCTGTAACTGCTGACGAGCCTCTTTTTCCTCCGGATCCAAGCAGTTCCCGACGCGCCGGAGGCCAGAGATTAGTTGGGATTCCTTGAGCCCGGACGAGCTCCTTCACACTGAGAGGTCTCACTTCGCCGCCTTCACACGGAATCAGCGTAGCACCGGGGCCTCTGAAGTGTTTGGTGGGACCCACAAAAACACACGGGACTCGTCATCTTGTGTACCAGGCATTCGGGCGGAACACCACCCGGACCCTTCAAATGGAAAGGGTGCGGCAGCCAAGGGTTTGCGGTGGTAACAATGCCGGGCTCTTGCACAAGCGTACCGGACAGAGGCGTGGCGCCTTTGACTGTACCGGGGTCAAGCGGAATAAGCCTGAATAAGCTGCATCGACTGGGGCGGGTTTGCCCGGAAATACTCCAGACCTCCTTCCTTCCAGCAGAGTAGGAGGTTGCTACGCCTGGCAGTGACGGAACCAAGCTGGGAGCTGACATATGAACACAGGCGGACTTGCCCGAACACATCCATGAGGCGGGCCTGCAACGCGCCCACATCGAACTGTGGCGAGGGCAACCAATAATCTAAGGATCTTAGCAAAGCGAGATCGCTGGAGGCCTTTCGGGCCCTGCAAAAACGTGAACCAGGCTCGTGGACGCTTACCAGGTTCCCAGGCCTTGAAGAGCTTCAAGGCAATAGCACAGCTGGTGACCTCGAGTTGGTCCTCGACGTGAAGGACTTCCCAGGGCTCCCGCAAACAAATTTGGGTTCCCATGAGTAAGCTGCCGTGCTACTTGAGAGTGTGTATCGTACACCAGGGCAGAACGCCTTGCATCTTGCAAGAACTGTTCCCAGTACATGTCAGTAGTGCTTTCTTCCCAGCCTTCGGCAAGGAGCTGAGCTCGGACGACCCCCAGGTCTTCCCGGCTTAGCCAATCCGCCAGTTGGTCCCGATGAGTCAGAGTGCAGATGGGATGAACAGTAAAGATCTGTTCTGCCTCAAGTCTTCGCACAAGACGGACAAGCAGACTTGCAATCCGATTGCCCGGCCGCCGTTTGCGCAACCACGAGCGGACATTGGCGTTATCAGTGACGTAGAGGATCAGGTCCCCCATCCAGTGGGGGCCCGGATGACATGCCAGAACGACGAAAGCCAACAGCTCCATGATGAAGGCCGGTGAGGCTCCCGGGGACGAAGTCCACCTCTCAACGAGGGTCACGTCCAACAAACAGTGGTCAGCGAGGGCCACCACGGAGTGAACCTTAATGGCACAGTCCCTGATACCAAACCTACACTGGGTTGAAAGTTCTTGAGACAAAACACATTCGACTCATTCACTCGCAGAACTAATTATATGTTCTGGCTACCGAGCAAGGCTCCCATCAGTTTACTAATTTACTAGACATGCAAACCTGAACAGAAGCCGTGACAATCTGAAGCCTTGAGCCTTCTCAGACTACGAACAAGCAGACTTCAGGCAAACAAATCAACGTGGAGGCATGAAACATCTCGAGTCTCGAGTGATGGATTTTGCACAATACTGCAAACACTGGAAGATACTGCAGACAGACACATTGAGCTGGCATGGCACTCGGATAATCTCGTGCTTGCACAATGAGAACATGCACGAACTCGATTGGCTGCCACCGGCTGGCAATAAGACAAATCATTCATGACGTGTTGATTCTGCGTTCAGAAGACTGCTAAACCATGCCAACACGATGACCACGGAAACTGTGGATGCTTTCAGGATAAGACATGTTATGGTGATGTTGGAGGTCCTGCTGCTTGGGCATAGGCTCGTGAATGAATCTGTGGAAAATAAACTCCACCTGCTCAGAAATGAAAAATGGAATTCGAACCGGCTAGTAAGCTCAGCTCCTTCGACGACTCCGCCAAGCGTTTCGGACCCGAGAACAGAAACTTGTTTCCGGGGTCGTGGAGGCATGCATAGAGGGAGTCGTGCAGTACCAACTCGTCTGCAGAATTTCTCCCCTCATCCTGTTGGCGTGTGTCCCTGCCTACAGTATGTCTGCCCGAACCCGACAGTATCTCTGTTTTCATGTCCTGCCCCTTCTCGAAGTCGCTGGCCGTGTCATAGCGTTCAAGGCCTCAGTTACAAGGGCAAGTATGCCGCACGCCACACACACGACGCGAAGCCTTGAGGGAAAGACTGTTTTCTCGCAGAACGAAAAATGGTGTTTTGACCTCCAACTTGGGCGGCTATGGGCGTTGAAGGCTGTAGAAGCGCTAAACTCTGCTGCCACCTGGCCCTTGCGCTCAACATTGAGGTACCCGGAGCATAGGACCTTCCAAGACATGGGACAGCTTCCTGTGAGGGGTTCACCTCAACCTTCGAAAGAGAGCAAGCACGAAGATTTTGCATCTTGCTGAACTCGCGCGACACCACAAACAGACAGTGCAAGCCCAAGCAACCGAGGGGGACGATGTGTCACAACCACCTGCGGCAACAAGACGGGTTCGTGGCTCCTCACTGTCTGCATCAGGGCTCCTCACTGATGTGCAAGAGAACGCCCTAAACTGGTGTTTCTGGTGAAACTGTCTCTGCCTTTCCAGCCAGCGCGACCGGAACGGCCGTCTTATCTTGTGAAGGCATACCATGGCCAATGCCACTCAGATAGTGACAAGCCCAAACTCCGAAGAATTGCTAAGCTGCCTTTGTTTCAGAGACGTCAAGCTGCAAAACCCATGGACTTTGGGCAATCAGTGAATTCCACACCGTGTCTTCAAAATGCCACTCGGGTCGGTGAGGTCGTGCGTTGGCCACAGACACCTGTCCGATGCTGACGCTCCGATACTGAACTGCTATGCATGGCTATGCCGCTATGATCCGCTATGCTGATACCTCTTGTCTCGGAGCAGGGATGCGACTCCGCCACTGAGCCCAGCTGAAAAACTGATAGATCGACTTTCGATCTCCAGAGCAGGCCACACGAGCACCAAACAGACACTACCCGCATCTACCCGCATCTACCCAGTATTCCATCGTTGAGCGGTGGCTCTTTGCTCCGAGCACGCCGGGGCAGCTTCTGTCACAAGCCCGCCAAGCTCAGGGTGCTGTGACGTATGAGGAGTCAGAGTACGTAGCTTCCTGCTACACTGAGTGTAGACTTAGACATAGAACATCTCTGCATACAGCATCTCCGCTCGCCGCGGATTGCGTACTCAGGCAGCACACATACCAATCGAAGCCGTCGCAGTCGCATTGATATCCCTTCCTTTGGCTTCGACAAGATGAGAAGCTGCCTACACCCAACAAAGCAGGACAATCTTTCGAGCTCCCGAAGCAGCCACGGAATCATCCTGACTGAGTGCTCGTGCAGGCTTTCAGTCTGCACGCTCCTGCGGCGAAGTGATGATCAAGCGTCGCAGTTGTGCAAGAGGCTGCTGGGAGCTTTACGGGTCCTCGTCATCACGCCACATCATGTCCAAACGACCCGCCGCCGTATGCACTGCCCGCAGCGATGCAACTGGCTCTTCCTCCAAACCCAGTCCAAGGCCTACTGGGGGTCTGATTTGCATGCTGCACTCTGCAGTTGCTGCATATGAGATTGGGCATCGGTAGAGACAGCGACATGTCCTCGCAAGCGAGGTCGATGAACCTCAAAACAGACGTTTCGCAGCTGCCCCGGATCCATGGTGCATGCACTGCGAGATTCTAGAAGGCAGTCTTTGATCGCTCCTCCCTGGCCACGTCATGCCCAATGTCAGACGAACTTGATCCCAAGGCTTGCATGTGCATGCTCTTTGCAACTTGGAAGCGTGTTCTTCACGTAGACGCCAGTTCCAAACGTATCTCGCCACCACATCATGCTCATGCTAGTCGCAACAGCTCCATGGCATGACATGACAAGGCATACAACAGGATAGCACGGATCGACAGAGCACGGTGGAACGTGACATGGACTGTTGCCAAGGACTCGTTCCAGCAGGAGCAGTACTTAATAGAAGCTGGCAGCAGAACGTTAGGGGCTTCCGGTGATGCCTTGCGAAAAACGGCTTTGGCCTCGGCTTCAGGTTTGGAGGGAGGAGGGGGGTTGGAGGGCTGGGTCGTTTCATTGAAGCTCGAGGCATAGCCCAACAGGACAGGGACACAAATGAGCCCAGTCTGGGCCGCACGTGGGGAGTGAACCTCTTACTAGCACTTCATACCATCCCAAAACGTACCATTCTGTTGCATTCCGTGGCCTTCTGTGACCTTGCACCATATCGCACGATGCGTTACGCTGCACAATGAGTTGCGCGATACGTGCACGGCGTTGCATGACATCGTGCTCGGATTCGTTAAGCTGCAGTACATAAGGTCAAAAGGGATGGCACATCATCACACAGGACTTCGTTGCACTACGCTGTGCTTAACACGGCGTTCCATTGCTTTGCGCTCCATTGCAGGATAGTGTTGTCCGTTTCATTCCACCGCACGACCCTGAATCGGATGGCCCTGCCTTTCCATGACATGGCACGGTACAGTTTTCCATGCTCAAAGAATATCATTGCAGTTGTTTTTTGCTGGATTTTCGCTACATTCATAACCACAACATGCATCAACTACTCATCAACTACATGGCGTTACATTGCATTGCACGGCAGTTGTGTGCACTGTTCTGTCTAGAACATGTTCAGGTGGATAGTTACGGTTATAGGATCCTTATAGAAGGTCTACATACGTTATAGAAGCCTTATAGACTTATAGAAGCCCTAAATACCCTAAACCCCCCACCTGCAGTTTCCTTTAATTCTGCTTTTGGACGACAGCGACACATGACGAACAACACTCATGCTTTTCGCATCTTTTCGCATTGTTTTTGATTCGACGTTGCCCATCACCATGCACTACATCAGACGGAAGGCCACAAAACAAAAGTATTTTTTCAGCGCCTCCGTAAGCTTTCCCCACTTGGCCGTGCGGACAGTAGGGCACAGAAGCGCGTGACTCGAACCGCGCGCACCTTGCATTACCGTCACCTACCATGCACTACCTCAGCAGACTATCAACAGATTCTGGCATAGCGCCGCGCCAATACCAAGCTTCGCAGAATAGATTTGCCATGTGGAAATGTGATACATACCGCGACCACCCCATAAAAGACCCAGCACAGCACGGAACGAGCAAGGGATGGCAAGATGCAGTGTAGAACAGCAGAGCCGAGAGTAGCACACATCCTGCATGGTGCATTTGTCCTCGCACTTTCCCAAGAGACTACGACAGTAAGACACGCACACAAATGTTCCAGTCGAACTGGAAACTCCAATAAAGTTACATCAAAAAACTGCAACAAAGTACGACGCTGTAGGTAGGTGCTGTAACTTTGCTGCGACATGCTGTGGTAGGTTGTATCAGAATTGCCAAGGTTGACCTGCCTGACGCAAGCTCGTGTGCCCTCCGCAGTAAGGGATTTGCACCGGGCCTGTCACACCATAAAGTGTCACTCGGCAAGTTGCGTGCACACGCGGCAGGAGAGCAGAGGCCAAATGGATTAGAATTAGAAAGTACTCGAACGAAACTCTCAGGGGCTGGCAGGCCGCTTGCGTGCGCCAAGTCTGACCTCGGAGCAAGGTATGAAATATGAAACACGTCTCTTCCTTTGAGTTTCAATACATCTCTCGGACAGTTTCGCTCTCTAGGGTCAATGTATAGTCTGCACTGTGGCACTTAGGCCTTGAAGACGGTGTGGACTGTATTGGTGGGATTTGGTGGAGACCTTGCGTCCATTCTCGTTCCATCTTGCCGGGATTGGAGAGCTTCTTTAACTTCCCCAAACATGCATTTTCGTGCTTCGGTCTACAACATCTGTTATCAGGTCTCCACTCCTCCAATTTCGACCCACCAGATTCCTGGTAACTTCGCACTTTGGTGCCCTGCACCGTTATTTTTTCACGGACAGATGCCGGCTCTGCTCCTTTCCAAGCTGCGTGCGAATGTTTTAGGCGCAGGTGTTTCGTCCATGGCCACTGCAACTCCTTGATGCGCTCCCACTAATGTTTTTTTGCAGCTACCTCCTTGTCCTGCTTGCGTGCTGGATCCGGAGAAGTTTGGAGGAGGTGCCTTGGTCTTTGCTGCCGCCGTGGTTGCTTGCAGTTCTACTTGTTTGGGTGCCTGTCCCCCGGCCCTTGGTGGTGGTATGTGTCGGTCGTGTTGAGCTGATTGTTGCGATTCTTGTTGGTGCTGTTGTTGTTGCTGCTGCTGTTGTTGTCGCTGTTGTTGTTGTTGTTGCTGCTGCTGCTGCTGCTGTTCTATAACCGTTACTGGTGTTCTTATTTGTGTTGTGCTGTGGTTGTGCAATTGCGTTGCTGTTGCTGTTGCTGTTGCTGTTGC